GAAACGGAGTTCGCTGGGTTTTGCTAGTTGTGTATAATACAAGCCTGACAACAAAAACTGTAGTCTACACTTCAGCTCTACACCGAAGCGAAGCGAGGGCGGGCCGCTAGTATAACATAAAAACAAATCTATTTTGTAAAGATCGAAAAAATAAATCATTTTTTTTATTACACTGTGGTATTAATATCCACAACTATATTATCATTTTCACTAGACGCAAATGTGCTCAGATAATTATTATAGATGGCAGGCGACATCATAAAGTCTATTGCCATACATTTTTCACCAAACACCTCCATAAACACATTATAATCTGTATATATGTTAAGGTATCTATCTATCTATGGGCCTACGTTCCCTGACTATAAATCAATAAATAAATAAAATTATAAGGTGTGATACACTAAAAATCTACTGAATATAAGGCTGTAGAACCTAAATCTCTTAGCTTTCTTTGGTTAACGAGAGTTTAAAAATTCTCTCTAATCTGTGGCTCATTCACAATCATCACACAGTTTCTGTCACAGAGTACCTTATTATAACCGGAAATGACAACTGATTTTAAAAGTTACTCTTATGCATTAACTTAAAAAAACAGGCAACTATCTGTTAATCTACATGCTCTATATACCTGAATCTAATCCATAATTTCGATACTAGGCTTGAATTCCCTAGTTTACTATATAACTTATTTGTTTTCTATTATTTTAATATGTTCAGTGTATATGGTTTAAAGAAGTTCTCAGGGGTGTCCGTCAATAATATTCGTTTCTACAGTAATTTATATATAATTTCGAATCTAGGAAACAATTTTTCATGATTAGGCCAAACATGTATGGAAGCTGAGCAATCTCCTTTGCCATTTACCTACCATTTTTATGATTTATAATTTTGTAATGTGATGGTTTCTTCATACTACCAGACCTTATGGGTAATTCTAGAACAGAAAAACAAATACGGTTTTGATTATAATACAAACATAACAAATAATTTATTTTTTAAGTTTCTAAACAGTCAAATATATTGAATTCAAATAATTTGATTACCTTTTCTCATAACATCATTCTTAGGACATTTGGCTGCAACTTTTTTCGGGGTTGTTATTATTTTTTCAGGACCTAAAAAATAATTTTATTTAATACATTGCTTAATATGTGTAATGTAACAGAAAATATATATATATATATATATTCTATACACTACATAGATTAATTACTTACATGTGCTCGGGTTATTTCTCCAAGTATGTCTTGCATAGGTAAACAAGGCGCATTCAAGGTAGATGTTGTATAAAATTATTATTTTCAATGATATTGTTTTGGTCCATACAAGTTATATCTACTACATCTAAAATAAATGTTTCTATGTAAGTCACTGAAATCAAAGTAATTTTATCTACTTATCTTGGAATGATTATACAAACCGTTCTGTCCTTTTACTTTCCACAATATCCTTATATCTAAAAAGAAATGTTTAGTAAGCAAAGTAACACCTAAATATAATTATGTACCTATTAATTATTAAGTTGCAATTTTATACAAAAAACTCAAACATAACTTATTGTGCCCGAAATGCGTGGTCTTTTTTCAGACAGGAACCCTAATGGGCGTCCCTGAACACCCTACTAAATTTTCATCACAATCTGATCAATATCTTCAGAAACAATAAAGAATAAACAAAGAAACACTGAGTTTGTATTTAAATTATTTTACAAAGAAGACATCAATCTTAAAATAAACTCTAGTAAACCACAAGTAATGAGGTCCAGCAGTAATGACTTTTCCTCTTGGGTATAGTTTGCTCCACGTTTTCTTGCTTGTTTTTGCGACATTTTTATATAAATAATTCTTAAATTTTATTATTTTATTAAAACAAAAATAAACACTTCTAGACGCCGCGAAATGTCACAGGTACAAGTAATGACAGCTAAAACATGACATCTGCGTTCAGTTGTCATTAGTTTAACAGGCATAAAACGAAATTTATTTATATTATACCCTGAACGAAACGCAACCATTCACTCTTTAGAATTGAAGTGTTGACAGCAGTGTTTAATGTCGCCATTATTTGTTCCTTAGCTAAAGGGCCTTTTAGACATGGGCGTTTTTGGTTTTGAACGCAAACGGATATTTATCGGATTTCAGATTTCAAAATCGATTTTAAAATCCGTTTTTAGATATCCGATTTCAGATGTGCCGAACTAAGCCAATTCACTAGTTTGTGATATGATTTGGTTTTATTAGCTAACGACAATCACAAACAATTAATTGTACGAAGCAAGGATACTCGTAGATTTGCGCGATTTTCCTTTATGCTTTAAATCTAGGCTTAGGCAAGAGTATATATTCTGTGGCTTAGGACTAGCAGAAAAGTTATCTTTACGGATAAGAGTAAAACTTTTGCGGCGCATTTAAAAATCGGCTTATGTTAAATGATTTCTTTTTACATATTTTTTTAGTATTTTTTTTTGGTTTTTCTGTTTGTTTTTATTATTTTTCAAACCATTTACAAAATCAAACCTAATTACTTCAGGTTAGCGTTCAAAAAAATGTCAGTTGCTCGACTTTTGATGTTTTTAGACATCTTTTTTCAGTAATAAATAATCCCGCCTTAGAGAAGAACAATAGATTTCCGTAAACAGCAAACCGAAATCGGACTTCCGAGCACGAAATCTGACTTCCGAAAACGAAAGCACGAATTTCGAATCCGATTTACATTTGGATACTTGTGGACTTGTGGTGGTATTAGATCGCTAGCGTTTTGGTTCGGTTAGATTTCTGAAATCGGATTTTCTTGTTGAGAAATCGTTCGGTATCGATTTGTGTTTGAAATCGGATTTTGGATTCGTTTTGATATATCGGACGCATGCCTAGGGCCTTTAAAAGGAGCTGTTGTTGTTTTGTGCAACGTCTTTAAATTTAATGAAGTCCATAGTACTAATGACTAATTAACTAATGAGTTTCTTAAGGAATGCTTTCTGCAACTGACTGTAAGTTTTAGCTATATCAATTGTCACAAAGTTAATTTGACCACTACTTTGGTACAAAAAGAGTTGTATTTCTCGCATACCAAGAAAACAAATATTTGTTGTGTAAAGTGATACAAATAGAGCTGTATCAATAATCACGAGAAAATTATAATCTTTTTGATCCAAAATACGTGCAAAGTGATACATCTTCTGAATGCGGGGGTTTTGCGGGGCGCCGGGGACGTTACGGCGGGGGCCGCCATCCGCGAGCGGTCAGTACCGCTCAGACTACAGGACGGGGAATCCGCGCGCGCTGTTGCAGCAATCCAACATGCCGCACAAAGTGCGTATTAGATGTATAATTTTACACAAAATTTTAGGTTTTCTTTGGATTTATAAAAACATGGACTAATATCAACTTACATAAAATAATTACTCCAGTAATATCAATATGCCCGAAATTTTTTATATTATGTGCTTTAAAATTAAAAAGCGGTGACTTTTGTTTACTGTACCTTTGTAATTATGTTTTGTGATAGTCTATAATATAAAACATCATTGTTGTAGCGCCATTCTTGCCGTGCAAAACGCATGTTAGATATGTTAAATATAAATAATAATAAAGAAGATGAAAAAGATGCTCTTTCCGTTGATGAAAATATTTTTTCTGTTCTCTGTCTAAATAATAATCCTAACGACAAAATTTGGAATAGCTTTTAGGAATAGATTAGCTAAATTCATTATCAGAACAAAATTCTTCTCAAAATAACATGTTACATGAAGAAATATGCGACGACCATAATAGTTCATCTCCTGGTGGCGATTTGGATCCTTCAAGTAGTGATGAATATATACCTGGTTCTGATGGATATAGCAGTGATGATTCTTATGATTCTACGAAAATATATTAGGTTAGATTAGATATTAGATTTAGGTTTATTTTTAAATATATATTTATGTAGTTACTTTTACTGGTGTATGTTTAAAGTAAATCACTTTTTTTTATTATTATAGCACATTCGTGGATTTCTTTATGCCTAAAGGTTGACTGGCAGAGAATGCTTTTAGCGTTAAGTCCGCCTTTTGTCCATTTTTGTAATTGTGGCAATAAAGTTTAAATAAATAAATAAATAAAAGATCTAATATGGCATCAAAATGAAAACTACCTAGACGAATTTCAACTTCTGATAGTTCATGTACTAGTAAATAGTAGTAATAGTTCATTTTGCCTGTAGCAAAGATAGTAAAAAATTGCGATACATTGGCTAAAAACAATAAATTACCAAAATATCTTGTCTGAACAACCTAATCTATGCAATTATATAGCGCAGACTGTTTCGCAAATTTGTGATCTAAATAACTTGCCGGAAGAAACTAATCTGTGCAATGGTATACCACCGATTGTTTCAGAAAATAGTGATCAAAATAATTTTCCTGAAGTGCCAAACCTATGCAATGATTTATCACTGACTAATTTATGTTATTCCGTTGAAGCAAGTAATCAATGCGATTCTATGCGTGAAGAAAATGTTATTGGAGAGTTAAACAAGGTAACTGAAGAACCAAATCATAGCAATTACCGGAATGTAGAGCGAAATGTCAGGAAAATATACCGATAGCCGAACCGATAGATACCGAAGCAGATATTGGAAAATGTTTTTACAGAATACTGGAATCTAGGTTCATATGAAAAAAGAGCGAATTACATTAGTAATTTTATAATTATTGGCAAAAAGAAAGTTTCTAAAATTGATCCAAAAAAAAAGAGAGTTTGCCAGTAAATATGTAATAAAATTTGATAACAGTATCTATAAGATATGCAAAAAACTTTTGATGAAAGCAACAGGTTTGTTCAAACTATTTGTGAGAAGAAAATTAAATGTGGAAACATAATATCAAGTGAAAGTGGTCGTGCAGCAAGTTACAAAAAATCCATGACGATCATATTTTGAAATTTCCAGCGTACGAAAGTCACTACGGGTGGAGCAAAACCAGCAAAAATTTTTTGAGTTCTGATTAATCGTTGGCTAAAATGTATGATTTATATAAAGAAACTACAACTGAACCCATAAGTAAAACAGTGTACAATCACGTGCTCAAGACTTTAAATTTATCATTCAAACAGCCTTCGGTAGACACATGCCAGAAATGTGATAGACTGAACAAGCAGTTGGAAACTGCAACGTCTGATGAAGTCAAGGCTGAAATAAAATCCCACTTGCAAGAACACCAAAATAGCGCGACTTTCGCTTATGATCTGAAAGAAAAAGATAAAAATCATGCAAAATAATCAAATGATACCCTTGTTTTGACTTTCAATTTGCAACAATACTTGCCCACTTCTTATCTTAAGACGGGAATTGTATTTTACAAACGTCAACTTTGGACGTACAATCTTACAATACATGATTAGGTAATAAAGCTCATTGCTATATTTGGAATGAAAGTATTTCTGGGCGAGGAGCAAACCAAATAGCTTCATGTGTTTATGACTTTTTAAAATATCGTGTCCCTAATGAATGGCCCAACGTTTCAAAAATTAATTTTTACTCCGACACGTGTACCGGACAAAATAAAAACTCTATAATGGCGACAATGATGCTTGTAGTAATGTAAGTAAATAGTGACTATTCACTAATAGAAAGGACTAAAAAAAGAACGTCTTATAATATTCATCATCCTCGAGATTGGGCACATTTAATACGATCAGTAGGAAGACCTGGAAAATTTACTGTTGTAGAGATGGCTGAATCATTTTTTTACAATTTAAGTGACTTCTTGAAACAAAATTTTATCATGAAAAAATATAATGAAGAGTACGCAAAATTCGTTTGGGCTGATGTAAAACTTCTACGATTTGCCAAGGCGTTGTTTCCATGCCTAGGATATAAAACAGATTTGCAATCTGATGAACTTAATATGATCTCTCTTGCAAAAAGGGGTAAGCGTTATGAACAAGAAGTATTTGCCACTAATTTACTAACCTGCACGAGAGTAAATTTCATTTCAAAGGAGAAGAAGACTGATTTAATTTCATTATTGCCATACATTGATAGTAGTTATCATGATTATTATTAGAATTTAAAAACAAATTAAAAAAAACAAAAAAAACGACGGTGACGGTTTGACAACACACATGCGCGTCAATTTTAATTAAATAAAAATAATGCGACCTTTTCAAAGACACTAAGGACCCGTGGTTGGCGTCCATAGGGGCCGCCTCTTGCCGGAGGTGTGGACACGGTGTCGTGCTGCGTGGTTTGGCCCCCCAATTTGGAATCAATCAGCTGATCAGTGCTGCTCTATTTGACATCCACGACGCCATAGGGTCGCCCTGGAGACCATAAGCATTGTCCCGAGTTGCCTAGTTACCATATCGCTCCAGAAGACATAGCTCTACCGAATCCTCCTGCGCACGCATCCGTCAAGATGCGCGGTGTCAGTCTGCGCCAATTCTGTTATTTTATATTGTTTGTGTTTCTAGTGTTAAGATAAATTACAGAGTACATTTAAAATTTACCATTTAAATTTAACTTTTACCTTTTTAAGTTATATATTTTTATGTTAATGTTAACTCTCCCGGTCCCTGAGCAGGCTACATCCGCAAGTCAGTCCGGTGCAACCACGTCACAGGAACCCGTGCAATGCGGAGAATGCTCCCAGCCGCGTTTTTTCAAAGGACAAAGAGGTTTGAACATACACAAAAGTAGGTGTCATAAAGACCGGCAACCGCATGTAAGCAGCATTGAGAATTTTCTTAATATAACTGCCAATGAAGCCCCCACCGAGGGCCCCTTTTGGCAAAAATTAAACAACTTGAAACAAAGAAGCCTCCCTTTGGTAAAAAGAATCCCTCGCGGGGCTAGACGGTGTGTGGCGACCTCTTTGTCTTCCTGCGTCAGAGATGTCGTCGAAAAGAACGATAAACATAGCTGGGAAAATTTTCTGACATTTGCGTATAAAACGCTACATGTTAGCCAAGACAAAAACGGCAGTTCCCTTGCACAAAAAATAAAAAATAACTGTTCCCCCAACTTTAGGCTTACTTTAGATAATATTCAGGAACAACAAATATCGTACAAAATTACAAAAAGAATTGAATCAAAATTTGATGAGGGCGACATTAAAGGTGCTGCTGATTTGTGGTGAATTCCGACCACATTTATTCACAGCCACAGTCACACACACACATAATAATATTTTGTTTTGCGGCAAGCACGGGCGGGCGGTGCGCCGCACGCTGGCAAGAAACGTGCAGCGCTAGCGCCGGTTGCGGCGTCTTTGATGATGTGAATTCCGCCCACCTCCCCTCTTCCCCGCGTGCGGTGCTTTGCTTTGATTGCATGCAAAGCGCAGTCGCAAGTATATCAATCGCGCGTGGGCGTGCGCATCTTTTGATTTAGTGACATACACTATGATAATTTCTTTATGCCTCGGTATACAAACCAAGAATATTTAGAGATGGTGTACTGCTATCGCGAGTGTGACGAAGTAGGTTTAGTTTACGAATGAGTCCCCAAACCATAGAAGTTGCATTTTGTGCAGTGAGTAGTGATAGGGACACTTTAAAAAAGGTGGAAAGACACGTCCGCAAACGTGCCTACCTTTGTTTGCAGCAAAATGGTGGTTTAGAGCAACAATTTTGCAGATAATAATTTAAGTCTCTTTTTATTGCTAGTGTAAATACTTTTTGTGATTGATTTGATAAAAAGTACTAGTGAAAAAAATTTATATGTTCCTCGTTCCTCGTTGTACCTACCTACATCGCCGGTCTCGTAAGTACTGTCTAATACCTTAGTTATAAATTATTATTAACTTTTTAGGTATTTTGCTCTGCTAATGAGAAGATAACACTTGTTCTTTATTTAAATAAATCTGTTATTGTAATATAGCATCTAATGCCCGTATGAATAGAACGTTCTCAACTCTGAGAGCGATCTTGAGATGCTGTTTTGTATGAACACAGTATCTCAAGGTCGTAGTCTCAGAATTGAGAGCGATCTATTCCGTATTAATTGCCTTTGACGATTTTACTGTACTGTACAGTAGATACTGCCTCGCCTGGCCGTTTCCACTATTTTATTCGTTTATTTTAGTAGTGCTTATTTATTTGTTATATTTCACATACTATGAATACGTGTTATAAATAATTATTACTCAAAAAGAGGAAAGGACATAAAAATGCACAATTAAAAAAAAATAAAAAAAAATATATAAAAATTCCGAAAAAAAATCAGGCATATTCTATACACGTAACCCAACAATCTCACGAAGTTTCATTGAAACATTCAATTTCACCCTATATGTGAGTGGTTGACCAAAAAGGGACCTCAAGGGAAAATAATTGATTTCGAGTAAATCGCGTTTGAAGTTTCGTGTAGAAACATGTTTGGACTCGTGCGCGGGTGGTGAGCGCAGCATGTTTTATGTCATTAAGCGACTTCGTTAATGTGTGTCAACACGTGTTTTCAGTTATTGCGTTATTGGCAACTTAATTAAGTGTCAGTTTCTTGGCTTAATGTGAGAAACTAAGTGTAAAAATGACTAAAGCCACGTCTGTTTTGTTAGAGGACGAATTGCGTCAGTTGGACGATTATTATGGGATGATTGAAAATGATGAGTTGGACTTGGACGACCTTGAAATGGAAATTTTAGATTTCGATGCAATAAGTTTGGAGGACATGTATACTGGTGCTAAAACTGTAAATGAAGGAGAAAATGACAACATTATGGAGCGAAGCACTGAAGATATACGAGAGGTCGAAATTATTACTAAATTTGTGGAAGATACATGTAAGTGTAGTAAAGGCCCAAATGGTGGCCCATGCTCAGGCATATTTTCTAGACAATATCTATCACGTGTTCGGCAGCAATACATGGATATGGATAAATCTACAAAGTGTACAGCTATTTTGAGTAAGTTGGAGTGTCACAGAAGAAGCACACAGCTGGGAGATAAGTACAAAAAATTTTCTTACACCAAACCTATATTGCGGAACAAATATTTTCATGCAGATATAGAAATATGCCAGTCAACGTTTTTATTTCTTCATGCAATAGGCATCAAGGCCTTCAAAAATATTCTCAAACATTTTGATGAGAAAGGAGTGGCTAATAAAGTTCATGGTTTAAAAGGCAAACCTATTCATAATGCAACTCCCACAGAACATTTGGATATGATAGTTAAATTTATTAAAAATACAGCTGAAAAAGTATCTATTCCACTACTTGGTCGACTTCCACAGTTTTGGGACTTTCGAGTCATGAAATTGCCTGCTAATTTAACAAAGAGACGTATGTATAGAAACTATGTGGAGTCATGCAATAATAGCAATATTGATCATGTCAGCTGGACGACTTTCATACAATGTTGGAATACGTATGTGCCTTACATAACATCAATGAAACCAAGCTCTGATCTCTGTCCAGTGTGTCGAGATAATAATGTAGCCATCATGCGTAATATTAACATGCCCGATGAGACGAAGACTGAAAAACTGAAGCAAGCAATTAATCATTTAGAAGAAGCTAATATTCAAAGAAAATTCTACAATCATATAAGGAAAGATGCAAGTGTAGCTCTAACTCAAGCCAAACAACTGGAACAGAAACCTGGTATCCGTGTCTTCAGTATCGATTATGCACAGAATATCCATTATCCCTCATCTGAAATGCAAGTTGGACCTGCTTTTTTTAAAACTGCAAGAAAATGTGGAATTTTTGGAATAAATGATGAAGCAGACAACACACAGACGAATTATCTCATAGATGAATGTGACAACATCGGAAAAGGGGCAAACAGTGTGATTAATCTCATTCATCACCATTTAGAATCCAATAATTGTGACCAAGATATTCAGCATATTTGTGCAGATAACGATGTGCAGGTCAAAATAAAAACAATGCTGTTGTGCATTACTGTGCATGGAGGGTAGCAAGCGAGTTAAACAAGACAGTGCATCTTAACTTCCTATTGGTGGGCCACACTAAGTTTTCCCCAGACAGAATGTTTGGACTTTTAAAACAGAAGTTTTCTAAATCTACAGTAGATACTTTGCATGATATCGAAGAATGTGTGGCTAACTCGACCGTTTCGGGAAAAAATAAGGCTATCTGTACGAATGACTACGTGAACGGAATAATAAATGTTCAGTGGTATGAGTGGAACGCCTTCCTCAGCGAATTCTTCACAACTATTCCTGGAATAACACAATATCACCACTTCATTATTAAATCAGATGATCCATTTACAGTGGAATGTAAAGTTCTAGCTAACAGTCCAGTACAAAA